CGGGTCTCGAACCCGTGAGCTCAGGCAATCCACTCACCTCAGCCTCCCAAAGGCGCAGGATTACAGGCTGAGCCCCCAAGCCCAGCTTTTCTGAAATATTTCAAAAGTAGTTTTCAGAAAACCTTTTTGTTTATTGTTTTACTTCTGTGACTAGATAGCAAAATTTACTTCTATACTAGATATATTTTGCAAAAATTATGCTATATTTTGGTTTCAAAAGCAAAACACAAATAAAACAACTCAAAATTTTCAGGAATTTCTCTCACAAACAACACAGGTTGATGAAGTCAGTGCTTTAAAGTCTTCAAGAACTCAGGTCTTTCCATCTTTTGTGTCTTCAGTTTGTAAACCAAGACCCTTCAATATAGTTTCAAGGCACTTCAGGCATATTCAGCTTAGAAGTAAACAAAAAGCCTGAACCCTCATGAACAATAGGTCAGCTTCCCTAGTCTATGCTGTCATAGACTATGCCAGCAAAAGAAAGATGTAGATGGGTTTTGGGAAGCAAAAAACAATTCCTGCTACAGTTTCTCCCTGAAATTTTATAAATTTGGACTTATTGGTCAGACTCTAATGAATCTAAGTAGCTTGACTTAAGCCTTTCATTCTTGGCCTCATTGTCAAGAACTGCTAAAATCAAGGGGTCTTATGTAATGGCCTTGCTTGGACTTACACAGAAAATCAGGACTGAAATAGCCAAAGAAGTTTGACCACATATGACAAGGAAGAACTATTCCTTACAAACATGGATGCAAAAGTCTTTAGCAAATATTAAATTAATGTCCCACACAAAGGTTTGTACATGGATGTCTATAGCATCTTTATCCATAATGGCCCCAAATAAAAAACCCATCAATTGACAAATGCATTAATATTTACTAGATTCATTCACTCAGATATTATTTAGCAATAAGAAAATAACTACAGATACTTGCAAAAATATAGATTAACTTCAAAAACATTATACTGAGTCAAAGAAGCCAGACCTTAAGAATATACGCTGAATATACTGATTCCATGTTTGGAAAAAGCAAACCTAATCTGCACTGCCAAAAAACAGACCAATAGTTGCCTAGGACTGCAAGTTGGAATTGGGGAGAGAGTGATAGAATCACCAAATATTCTATTGATGTGGTGGTTACATAAAACATGCATTTGTTAAAAGTCATCAAATCGTACAATTAAAAGGGGTGCATTGCCAGGTTCGGTGGCTCAGCCTGTAATCCCGCACTTTGGGAGGCTGAGGTGAGTGGATTGCCTGAGCCCGCGGGTTTGAGACCCACCTGGGCAATTGGTGAGACCTCATCTCCACAATAAATCAAAAAATTAGCCTGGTGTGATAGCGCGCACCTGTAGTTCCAGCTACTTGGAAGGCTGAGGCAGAAGGATTGCCGGAGCCCAGCAGGTTGAGGCTGCGGTGGCCAGGAGCGTGCCACTGCACTCCAGTCTGGGGGAGAGAGTGAGACTCCAACTCAAAAAAAAAAAAGAAGCCTGAGTCATTTCCCCTTATCAACAAGGGTGCCAGAATGATACATATTTGTAAC